TTTGCATGTCACATATTTTATGTTGTTCACTGTTCACATTATGTAATGCAATAACTGTGATTACTTTTTAATGGTTGGAATTCATAATTAATCTTTCGAGCAGGAAAACAAATGACTAATGAATGCTTTGCAAATTGACACAGTAGCATCTTTCTTTTCGTAATGCACTCTTACAAATCATTTTAAGTGGATTACACATGTAAATTTGGGTACAATTTATGACTAAAAGTTAGTTGGCATTATACGGTTGACTGTAACAAATTTCGATCACACTCAAGAATCAAAGACACTCATTTTGTATTGATTACTAAAATGAGAGGGTTGACCATTTCTATTTAAGGTGATATGCTGCGGACGCCTGATTGCATTTCTTTCCATTCAATCATAATAATTGGTGAGTACCTATATCTTACTGTGCCATAACAGCTAGATGACTGTTAGTTCATACTTACTGCAACATTCACCTGCTTGTATAATGCCTTCTGGATACCTCGCATTTAATTAATCGTTAAGTATATAAGCTTGTTTGTGTTCTTTTTTGTATTACTACTTTGTATTTGTCTACAGATCCAAAGCCAGGGTCTCACTTACTATATAATGAAATGTTTGAAGTATCGTCATTAAATGCGCTTTTATGGAAATGCAAGTCTTGTAGTAAAGAAGTAACCAATCGATGGCATCATTATCATTCGCATGCCAGTCAACGTTCATTTTGTCCATACTGCCCAGCGACCTACAGCAGAATTGATACACTTCGAACCCACTTACGAGTTAAGCATCAGGATATTGCCAAATTTGTACGAGGTGACCTGTTATAAAACTGTTAGTGGGTATTCCAACTTGCTGTCGTTCCGTTGTTCTGTACAATTTTTATTGATTTTAAATTAGAATAAAGTGGACCCTATATAGCTATTACTCAAGATATCCAATTTCAGCTAAGTCATATTTGTTTGCAATTTTGCTCATCTACTTTATTCTTGGTTGATTCAACGCTAAGGAAATTGGAAAGATGTTCTCTTTCCCTTACCTATTAATATTCTAGTCATTGATTTTTGGCTCATAAATGTAGGCATGTTATACTTGTGTCTGACTGTATTTTTTAATAGAATAAGTAATTATTAATATTAGGATCTTGACACAATTAGGTATACGAGTTCGTTTGCAAGAACGTTGTTTTTAAAGACAAGCGTACCTTCCTGATGTAGCCATACTATGTAGGTACGTCTTTTATAAATTATCTGTAAGTGAATAATTTGTTGCCTGTAATACTGTGGTTTCATTTAACAGATGCATAGTAAAACTATCTAGAATTTTGTGTTGCTGCTTCTCAAACGTACATCTAGATCCATCGCTATGCCTATCTTGTGCCCTGCCCAAACACCAATTAAGGTTCTGATTATTTCACAGTTCGAGGAGTTTTTCGATCCAGTGGGAATTCCCTGAGGGTGAAGGTCAAGAGGTGCGTAACAGGCAGTTCTCCAAATGAAGGTGTTATCAATATTCTTTAGTGCAGCCATTCACTTTATGGTGGTGTTATCTTAGATCATATGTTAATATATATGTACTAAGGGTGTTATATGCCAGTCCAGAGATCAATTACTATCCATTGTTATTGAGTAATAAACTGTAGAGATATCAGGATTGCAAGCGGTTAGGTTTGGTTGCAAAGAAAAAGTAACTATAGAAGGAAACTAACTGTATCGTGTTGTAATGAAGCACTTCTTTTCTGACCATCCTGTATATAGCAGAGTTTTTAGTTGGACGCTTCGTTACGAAGATTGTCGATTTATTTCTGTGGAGGAGAATTTGTATATCGAGTCGCCCTTTGAGGAAAATAAGAAGCCATCTGTAATTTTTGTCGTTTGAAACCATCCCCGTAGGACATATTTAAATTGTTTTTACAGCCGCCGAAAACTCTCTTACCAGGGAAGAAGAGAGAGAATTAATCTTGTTAAGTTTTAGGTCCGATAATACCCATTAATCGATTTTAGTTTTCTAATGGTACTTATACCAAAATCCAGCATTTATCCGGCAAGGTCGGGTAGTTGAAGAAAAATATCAACGTGGTAACAGATTACACCACTTGACCTCACATATTCCAAGGAACGAAAGGGCATTACTGGGCTGCCGAATTTGGAGTTTCATTCCGACTATTATTAACCGTAATTATAGTTGAATGGGTGGCCGATTAAGTCGAGATTACACCCGGCAAGTGCACCCTTTAAAATTTGAATTTTGACATCGGTCACGTATTTTTAAGATGCCTGAGAAAGGCGAGATTAAAGAAGTTCCAATTTTTGGATGTAGGATAACCGAATACGCCGGCCGACTTGCAATTTTCTACGTTTTCCCCGAATTGTATAGGTATAGGCATTGAATTGTATAGCCGTATAGATAAGGTAAACGCTTAATTTAGAGGGGATTGCATTTGGTTGTTTACCGAAACATTAAATCGTTTGCATACTAGAAAGAATAAATGATTACTACCTGTAAATACACTTTTTGCACTCCTTCGTTCTAAATCGCGTTTTCCCAATAAAACACGAAAGTCGGGAACGTTAATTTTACAATTGACTGTCTACTTTCGCGCACTAGTGTCTAAAAATTCAACGAAATTATCTATTTAGTGCGGATCATAAACTAATAAGTAATATAATGGAAGAGTAAAAAAGAAAATATAAATACACTTTACATCATTCCCTGTAGTACAGGGGCAAAAATAAGCTTAAACCAGAAGTTTTGAACAATAAATTGACATTTTAAGTTTCTAGATTTCTCCTTTATCGGCATAGAGGGCTTGATTTCTTCAAAAGAATCATAATGTCGCAAAAATCTCGCCAAAAAGGATTTGAATTTATATAAATTCGATTTAACTAATCCGTGCAAAAAATAGAATACAGTGAACAGTATTTACTTGATTCGCGCTCATCTGCAAAATAACTGTTCCCGCACTAATAATGTAAATAACTACTATTTCAAAACACAAACAAAAACCCTAGACCCGCTATTCTCACCATAAGGCTATTGAAAATTCTTAAACAGAAAACGTTAAGTTGGCGACATGAAACTTTTAAAGATGTATAAAGCCCTCTAAAAGCTCTTAAAAAATTCAAAAGACGCTTAAAGGCCTTTAAGTGATCTTAAGCCTCTTCTAAAAGAAGACTCCCAAATAGCTTCTCTTGATAACACTTCAGATTTGTTCGGAAAATGGAATTGAAAATTTATATGTTAATCAAGCACCGTGTATATAACTTTTCAAGCGTCTAACGTTATGTTATTATACCGATTACAGCGCCATCTATAATCTTCATAAAGATATTTGTTCTGTTTCAAACTTTTGAAATTCAAATAATGGCCCAAGTTAAGGAGAATGACAGTGTGTACACCGAAGTTGAACAGGATGCTATATCGGCCGAATTCGAGTGTTTTAAAGGGCGACTATTACAACGTCTACAATCACTTGAAGTTTCCGAAGAAGTGATTCAGGATTACAAGATCTTCTTAGATTCTGAACTGCAGGGTTTGTCGTCAAGCGTTTATTTTTATATGTTGGAAATGCGAAAGGATCTGTCACGTGCGGTAGATAGGTTTGACAAAAAAAGTTTAATTTTTTCAATTTGTTTTGTATACTATTTTAGTAACGTGGATATGGATCCAAGCAAGTACAAACTGGAAAAGATGCAGTGCATAATAAAGCTTTTAAACGTATCTTTGAAAATGAATAATTTTGTTAATGAATAAGGTATGATCATTTAATAAACAATTATTTATCAAATGGTATTGTTTTTAAGTTTGGCATTTTGATTTCTAATATTCTTTAAAACAATATTTAAATAAATCAAGAAACGACGCCAGTGGTTATATCAATGGTTATAGGTCCATGTTACGAAAAGTTAAATATAATCGTAAAGTCAAAGACTAATGGCCGTATATACACCGAAAAAGTTTAAGCGGGCTTAGTTTAAGCATAGATGTGGTTGGTCTGTGGTTAAAGTGTAGCCATTGTATAAATAATTTTTTGGCAACATTGACTTTCATATTAATGACTACTTAAACGGACAGTGTGGATTATTTTGTAAAAAATGTTGAGCTTATGTATTTCACCTCGGATTTCACTTTTCTCACCAAAATCTTCCAGAATACGCGCTCTCTTTATTTAAAAAACTACTTGACAAAACACTTTTACCGCAATGTGGAAACTAGACTTTATGTTGATTACAGTGTCTGCTCTCTCTTAGGGCCAGTTCACACTGAACGGACCTGCGGCGGAGGCGTGGTGGAGACGTGGCACAGACTTATGTCCTCTCTGCGCTGCCCCATGCAAACAAACGATGTATCGCACACTGACGCGACGTGGCATTGTCGGCTGCCTTCCCGCCAACTCCACGTCGGGCGCTAGTGGCGTGTCTCTTCCAAGTCAGTACGTACGTGAGCCACGATGCGTGACGATATTTCATGTCACAATCTCGCCTTCATGTGGTTTGTTTGCGTCACGTCATCGCCATGTCTTAAGCCGGATTTATAGTTCCGTAGCCGTAAGAACGGAACTGTAAAATCTTACGTTAACGAAAATAATACGATTTATAGTTCCGTAGTGGCAAGTGATGAGCTTGCGCATTAGCGCGTAGCGAATTCTGTCATTGTATGTCATCTGTCAGTAAGAGTAACATGCATTTTAAAATAATAATAACCAACAAAGTGTCAATAATTATTGTAAATAAACGAAACGAACGTCAGGATAAACTCAACTGTTTGAATTATCCGAGTAGGTACTACCGAAGTCAAGCGCGTTAGCAAGATTTACCGTAAGAAATAAGATTTGTGCATTTCCTACGTACCGTAACCGTTCTAACGCAACGTTAAAGCGAATTATAAACGTTCACACCCAACAAGTATGGTTTAATTCCAAACGTTACGATACGGTGTTGCGGGTACGGAACTATAAATTCAGCTTAGTCTATTGTCTTCGCCACAGGTCCGTTCAGTGTGAACTAGGCCTTAAATTGTTTTGTTAAGTCATTTGTGAGCATGACAGGCAACTTGTAGGAATAATTTTGATATTTGTTTTGCATTAGCATTTGTGACAATCAAAATTAGAAGCATTCAGTATTTTTTTCAATCTAGAGGTTTTCAGAAATACCGATGTAAAATGGTGGATTATTTTGAAGAAAGAGGAATTAACGCATTGGAAGATGCAAGTGCCAGACGAGCACATTTGGAAAGTCAAATAATGAGATTAATGGCAGATTTTAATCTTTTCGAGGAATTGGGTATGCCCAACCAATTAGCGCCACCAGCATCCAAGGAAGTGGTTAATAATTTAGCAGAGGAGAAAGTAACCAAAGACGATGGTAACTTTACACTTGAAAGTTAACTAAGTAATGCTGGTAATGTTGATTATTTCTAGGTGGAAAGTGTGATATTTGCCTAAAGGAATATGAAGCGGAGGAGCTAATCAAAATAATGCCTTGCAAGCATCGATTTCATTCCGAATGTATTCACGCCTGGCTGTCCAAAGTAAGAAGCCCCTTTCGATTTCTTACTTACTATCAACTCCTTTAGACGAACTCCTGTCCATTATGTCGGCACGAATTACCCACAGATGATAAGTTTTATGAAGACTATCGTAAGGAGAAAAAAAGGGCAAAAGAACGTGATGCGGATATAGCAAACTTACACAATTCCATGTTTAGTTAACTTTTATATATATCAAATAGATACAGTGTTTTCAACCCATGTCCTATGGTATCTAACATTGCTATTTCTATTACAAAAAAGTGCATGTCAAGTAAGACAAAGCTCTAGCCTTAACCCATAGGGTCCCATTCTATATGCTATACAGTGTATAACGTTCCGTACATTTGAATACTTCAAAAAATTATGAAAAGGAGAGGAGGGAAGTGTGGTCAAACTTTTGTTCTAGGTACATTTTTGTACATTAGGAGTGTTTTCGATAACTTGCAGATTACCAGAAAAACAGATTTTTATCACATTTACCTTATTTTCACTTGTAGGTAATAAAATGATGAAATTAATTTTTACAATGTAGAATACCTACTTAGGTTTTGTATGTTTTATTTTTTTGTGTACTCCGTGAAGTAAACATGTTATTCATTTAAGGGACTAAAATGTCACTTTCTCTACCAGTGTGAGAGAGGTAAGTTAAGAGGCAATGTGGGACGAAAAGTGTAAATGCTGGTGTTTGGGCTACATTTTTTACTTGTTAGATATACCTTTTTCCATTAAAATTTTTGGGTTTAGGAAGCAGTAACTTCTGGTGCAGAAGTGGAAATGGAAGACAAAATATTTTGGAACCAGAAGTGTAAATACCATTATAAATTAAGTAGATAAAATCTAGAATAATTTGTCAAAATGTGTAAATATGGAAACATTTTGGTTAAAAGGTTTTTTTTAAATATCTAAGCCTTATAACAAATTTTCAGGAAGCTGTTGGCATTGGTTTCCCATAAGATAATAAACTCAGCTCTGGTTCCTTTATATCCACGTCGTCCGGTAGTGTATAAACATGGTATAGATAATAAACATATTAATATAAGCTTATGACATCGCCCCTGAATCAACTTGCTATAGTTTGCATCACTAATTTCAAATTTGTGATATTTGTTGCATAAAATTGGATACACTTATTTTACTTGGAGCGCGTCGCTAATTGAAAAACTCATCAATGCCCATAGTTTCATAAATCTATTTTCAAGTATCATTCTTTATTCATAATGATGTTACTCCTATCAAAGATCATTGATATTAGCTCCTATCCACTCAGATTGTCGTTGACACCCTGTATTATTTCTTGCTCTTTTCTTTGAATGTGAGCATTGAATTAAGTATAAATTGAATTTATAAACTATATATTCATTGGTGTAAAGCAGGTATGTCAAACACGCGGGCCCTCCCTAAAATAGATAAGATAGATAAAAGCTGCCTATTTTAGATATTTTTACGTAGAATTCAGTGGTGTAGTAAAAAAAGCTTGGACCACCGTTTCTGAAATTTAACCTACAGTTGGTATTTTTAAACACAACACCCTGTATACCTTAACGTGAATTTTTTTGCATTGCTTTTCTGATTACATTGATATGTCACAACATGAATTTTTGAAATTATAATGATGAAAATTAATAACCTCCTTTTTACTATTTTTAAATAGTAGGCCATGGATTCATGGAAACTTTGTTTTGTTTATTGAATACATGGTAACTAGGATAACCGATACCAAACAATAAAAAGAGCTGACAGAAGAAAGGTGTCATTTCAAAAATTAAAAAAAATGAAATATGGAATGTAATATATAATTATAGGTATATTAAAAATTATTAATAAAAAAATTAAAGTATATTAAAAAATATAGGCAGTTTTTACCTTTTTTCTATTTTACATAGGTAGGTAAGATATGATAACGTTCTAAAAAGTGAAAATTTTCGTTTTCACCTTGTAGCTCAGAAACAATAAGCGTAGTAAGATTGATTTTGTTTGTTGTATTGAGTATCACAAATAAGTCGCTAAAACCGAAAGGCACAACCAAAATAAGACACACGGTACATTTTCTCAAGCGCGTTCTAACGATTTTATGATTATTTTTATTTTTCTTATTTTATTGTACCAATTGCTTTGTATATTTTTTATGTCAAATAAAAATCAAAATTTCCTTAATGTGGATTTTTTTATGATGCGGCCCGCAGTATATAGGAATCTTAAAATGGTCCTTGATAAATGAGTTTGACATGGCTGGTGAAAGGATTATTTTTCGAATGTTTTGCCAAATTGACAGAGTTAAATTTTTCCTTACTCTGTGGTTTTGGCATTGGCATGTACTAGGGTTTTTCATTTTATTTCAGTGAACTTTCAAAAACATTGCAGTTTTGACGTTTTGCTTTTGAACTTTTATTTGATTATACGTGTATAGTACGAAGACATATTTTTTTGCAAAATTTGAGCGATTATAAAGAAAAATAGAAAATACACCTTCGTCTGAAAATCAAATACAAAGGTAGTGACGTATTGTATATATAACCTAAAAGTGTGCAACTTGTACGTATTGAATTTGTGAAAATGTTTATCAAATCTGGTATTTTGTGCGGTTTAATCGCATTTTATGCAGCGTATGCTGCCCCTACATCGTATTTAATCACACTTAGAAATTTTACTCACACACGCTGTCCCCTTTACGAGAGTTTATTATTGAAATCTCCTGTTTTGGATCAGTGCCCTGACAAACGTCCCTCACAGTCACATCTGGGTTGGGAAGATCGGGATGTTATTCTCTGCTTGATGTATTCTACTGTTTTCGAACATTTCTGTAAAGGTACGAATTTAACACCATATTACGAATCTGCAGGTCTCAATTTAACAAATGAACTTCAAAAAGCTTCTCTTACACTTGATACAGTTTGCAATTCACTGCAACATATTTCATTGTTGGCCACAGATGTGGTGAAAATGTTCACTGATGCAACGAAGTGCCAGTGGTTATGTAGCAATTTTAATACAGGTATGGTTGACAGTGTATGTAGTTTAACCAGTGTCATGTGGGAATTAACAAAAAAGGATATAAAAGAAACTACTATTGAAAAGGTTTCACAACAAGAAGCTACAAACTCGAGGGAAACAATCATCAGTCCTTCTGTTAATAGCAAACCGAGTAGCAAACCTAGTGTACATGCAGAAGTTAACCAAGATAAACCTAGCACAGAAGCAAATGTTAATAAAATTAAAGCCAGCATAGAGACAAATGTTAATGAAAATAAAGGTAGCATACATGCAGATGTCAAGCCCAAGAAAGACAGTACAGACGCAGATGTTAATCAACAACATAGTCCAAAAGAAAGTGCAATTGATACAGAAACTGGTCATGCTTACCAAACAAATGGAGATAAACCAACCATTGTAAGTCATGCTGACGACAACTCTAAAGGATCTATACAAGTATCCCAGGCAGGTGATGCTTCAACACCCAGTAAAGACATGATAACACCCAAAGATAAGAAAAACTCTCAACAAGTTACAGCACATGGAAATTCAGGGCCTGCAATTGTCCCTGAAGATGCCCAACCTGGCCCAGATAAGCCGAACCCATCAGACACCAAAAACATTGATGTCTCGATTAATCCAGTGATCACTGGCAAAACGAGTGACCCCAACAAAGGTCCCAATGAAAACACGAAGCCTAAAACCAAATCAGATACGCAAAAGAGTCCTAAAACCCAAGAGGAACAGAAAATCAAATCAGATGTAGAAAATGTTCCTAAACACCAGGAGGAACACAACTTAGGTGTAGTGGGTGTTGGTGGTAAAGTAAATCTAGAAGATACTCCAGTGGAGGCAAAGCCCGAGTCAAAGCAAAAGGTAATACCAAGTGTTATCAATGAGAGCATCCCTTCGCAAGTTGATGAGCAAAAAAAGATAGAAGACATTCCAGATACCAAAGGAGATGATATAAATATTGATGGGGATCTAGATGATGAGGATCCTAAATGTAAGTTGTTGCATTTATTTATATTGAGTGATGTGGGAATCTTAATGCTGTTAATGTGTACTTTTAATTACACTAGACCTTGCCTTTAAACATAAGAAAATAAACAACTTATTTGGTCTTCCATTGAGCTCACATCTTTTACATTGTATACAGTGGTTGTTTTATTAAACACCTATTCAGACATTAGTACACAATCATGTCAATTTTGTAAAAGAAATTACCACTAGAATTTATTATTTATGATGGTTGATTCCAGATGAAGGTGGGGACAATGACGAACCCCCATTACTTCAGAAAACAACAAATGGTAAGGACATCTGCAAAAATTCATATAAAATAAACTTTTTTTTAAAGGAAAAGGTGATAATGCACAAGAGGTAGGGGATGAACCACCGTCACCTAAATATGGGGAAGGTAATTTTTACAAATTTAGACAACACTCTTCTAAACTATATTCTTGACAGTGAAAAACAAAGTTGACGTTATCAAACCAAAAGAAATTGATGAAGATAATCTGAACATTGCGGCCAATTTTCAAAATCAGAACATTGACGATAGCGATTCTTACTTCTTCTCATATTTTATGATGGTTTGTGTAGTGTTTATATTTGGTTATGTCGCCTATCACAACAAACAAAAGGTTTGTACTTGCCATAAAGGTGAGAAATTAGATCCTGAATGTTGTTTAGATTTTAGCGTTGGTGTTAGAAGGTAGGAGAGGTAGGAGGCCGTCTCGCACTAGAAGACCAAATTCCTCAAACTATCGCAAACTTGACAGTACTTTAGAGGAAGCAGTGACATCTTCATGCAACAAAAATTCAACTCAAGTGATTTATTGATTTATTCGACTGTGATTTTAAAGTTAAAGCATATCTGTTTGGCACTTGTGATGTATTATTGGTACTTACATTTGGCAATAATTGATTTAACCGAAAATTTTGTTGGATATTGGGCGATTATAAAATTAAAAAAGTCCTTTCCGCATTTCGATTTTTGTTAAAAGTATTATTTGTGGTTAGCAGTATAGTAGGTACCTACAGCCTCGCCTACAGTATATTTATTTTTATTTATTTTCCAAGTACTATATTTGCATAGATTCTTAAAATGTATACAAATAACGAATCAGTAAACAGATTCCTGCACACCTGTTTGTAAATTTTGTACAAATTTAGATGTAAAATTGTAGATTAGTTTCTTTTTTCACCAAGTAAAATTATTATTGTAAGCATTGTATTTCCTATTTTATATAAATAAGCTTTAGTATATTAAATGGTTGTTATTTTAATTGCATTTCATATTTGATAAACATTATTTTCAGATGTGTTTTATATTGTTGCATAATATAAAGCATCAATGGTAGCACAGACAGTGTTGTCTGTGGTGGTAGGTCGACATTTATTTATTTATTTACTATCCCTCTTTTGTCCTGGGCCCTCAACAGGCTTGTGCCCAATTACAGAGTGACCTGCATAATGCTTTTAGGGGTACCTCTGCAGAAGGTCTTAAGTTGTTCTGTACTACCCCAGTATTTACCTTACGAATTGGGAAAACTGCAGGAAAATCTAACTCGGAGTAGCCGGCAGAATGCTCAAAACTGGTCTAAGGTAATTCCCATTTCTGCCACAGATGAAAAATTCACCTCAACCCAGGTTCGAACACCCGACCTCCGGGTTTATAGTCCAACGCTCTACCACTATAAGTCTCCCCACACTATCTATATAAGCCTTTTTATGGGACCCCATTCTCCCTATTATTAATTGTGATGGAATACAAATGTGAATAATAGTAGTACCATAGACCAAATACAATAGACTGTGCATGGCGTAATGAATCATTGGTCGCATAGATGGCGCACACATTAATTATGATGTAAAGTCTTATGATGAGCTCAGTAGCGTTTCAAATTTTATTTCGCGAATCGTGATGCTGTTTTCCATTCATGCAAAAGCGAGTGCAAAAGCGTTGGTTACTCGCCTTATCATGTCAGCTACAGGAAATGTTTTTGCAGAGTCAAATTTCACAGTGTAGAAGCTACTGTTATATTTTTTCTACAACTGAACCGATTGCTTTTAAGTTCAACTTTGTCATGTGTGCGAATGCGAAATACTTTTTTTCATTGTTGACGGTTTCGCGCACGTTGTCAAGAGCAACCTTACTTATTAATTAACCGTTTACAAATCTAGTACTTCGCGTTTCGAAATTCGTCAGAAAATGACAGGTTTTCTTGACAGTTGTAGAAAAATAGGTTTTTTCTACAACTGTCAAAAAAACCTGTCATTTTCTGACGGATTTCGAAACGCGAAGTACTAGATTTTTAATCGGTTAATTAATAAGTAAGGTTGCTCTTGACAACGTGCGCGAAATCGTCAACAGTGAAAAAAAGTATTTCGCGCACGTGACAAAGTTGAACTTAAACAGCAAATTTAATTAACAATCGGTTCAGTTGTAGAAAAAATATTGTATATAACGCTAGCGCGAAGTTATTTCGCGCATTTGACTGATATTTTAACTCGGCTTCGCCTCGTCAAAATATCTTCAGTCTCAATGCGCGAAATTGAACTTCGCGCTCTTGTTATATAAATAACTATTTTATAATAAAATAAAACAAAATGGGAAAGTGTAAATTTCAAACTGAGTGGTTGAAGAAGCTAGATATTATATTGCGGTCGAAAATTTAACGACGAGAAGGTGTTTTGCGTTGCGGTAATAAGTATTTTAAGAATGTATCCATTTTATGTTGTTACGTTGTTTAAAATGTTATTAAAATTGCAACGTCTATGCAGTTACGTTTTAACGGTTACTTTTTTTTTTAGATATATTGCCTTTTATGTATCTCATCATTCTCATCTATTACAAAATAAATAGTTTTTGCTTAATTTTGTATGGAAATTGGTTCTCGAAGGTCTCGAAATGGTCTCTATTTTTAAATATGTAAATAGAGACCAAGTCTCTATTTTTTTCCTAAAATCAGTTGCGAACCCTGTTTTCAACGAAAACTGTTGATAAGTACTGCTCCAGTTTGCCAATTTTTTTCCAATAATATGTTTTAAAGGTTTTCATTAAACTAAACTGCCCGCATGTAATAACACATCAACAATGTTTGGAGCACGTAAAATTTTTATTGATCAATCTAATAACTTTACGTAATTATTACAGTTCAGTTCAGCGTTACGACAGCCTCATCGTCGAATTCATCCTAAAATTTTGATCGTCAAAAATGTGTAAATAATTTATTTGTTTGTATTAGCCTCTATAAGTGATTGTGAAATTTAATTTTACTTTATTTGCAAAAATTTATGTATTGGACTTTGGTATTTACATGGCGTTATTTTATATCCTGTTTAAATGCTATACCTAGAAAAAATAATAAAAAAATAATTCGCAAGTATGCCTTCAGAAGCCGCCAGATTCTGCAAAGAAAGTTATTCAAACTGCGGTTATAAATTTATAATGTAGATGCAAACTTCTTTGAAAACGAAGTACCTTAAAAAAGCACTTTAAAACGCATGTGCAGCATTTTACATTCCTAAAACGTTATCACTATTTTGGCCCCCGTCATGGCGTAATCTCCAATGTAAAATTCGTAATTCGAAAGAATGTTAGTATATTTTTAGCAAATGCAGTCGCTATAAAACCGGCGCAAACATCAGCAAATTCCTCTGGTGTTAGCACAGCTTATATCGCGTATGAATGGAGTAGGCAATGCAATTACGCGGGACAGGTGATTGTATAATCTTCAAACGGTTGTCGTTTCCAAACTGAACTTCGCGTCGTCGGCATAAGCTGCCGCGGACTTTTTTGTAGAAAATTTAATGCCCTTTAAAAAAGTCCGCATATATTTTCGTCAATCTCCTTTTCTGAGCGTTTTGAAGAATTGGTCAGAGAACACTATTTTTACAACTCTATATTAATAATTCAAAAATCGGACGATATTACACAGCATACAAACCAAAATAATCATATTTACCAATCAAAATAATAATATTGACCACGCAATCTGCCAAATGACGGGTTTTCAGTAGTATCATTGAATAATAATATTCAATGGTAGTACCAAAGAGTACTCAATAGTAAGAGAAACAGCGCAATGTTATAAACGCGTGTTGACTATAAGAACTCGCCCGCTAGGATTCCAAAATCTTTCGATCGGTAGAAGCGACAGTGTGTACAAAAGGCAGAGACGTAATCAACGCGAGCTTATTACTCGCGCTTACTGGGAATACACAGTAAAAATTCAAAATTATTTACCGCTCAAAAAACGGCCTATTGTTACACGAAGAACATATCTTCGCACTTATTAATCAAACCAACAAGCGTTCGGACCTTAATAAATTGTGCCATAAGCGTAGAATGGAATTACAAAATTATCTTTAAACATCATAAATTTCAAAGATTAATAGATACCTAAGTAAGTATAAGCAAACACTAAAAATTTGGCAATGCTGGGATTTCTGCAATGATATTTGTAAACTTTTGAACAAGTACTTAGGCGTAGCGTACGCCAATAAAATTGAGAAAAAGCAATAAAATTTGTTAGGCAACACACAATACATATGCAATACTATTCTCAAAGTGTAACCATTGAATTTTTCAATGGTGTAACCATAACCAGTGGTCGAAGTGGCAAATATTTTTTACCGGTATGGCTGAACTGATAAAATCTTAGTATTGTATGTATGCGTATATTATCATGAATTTATTACCGGTATGTTTCACAAAAACTAAAAATCTATCGGTATGCCATACCGCCTCACTTCGACCACTGACCATAACAAGAGATCCAACGCCATATGGAAATGTATTGCATATGTATTGTGTGTTGCCTAACAAATTTTATTGCGTTTTCTCAATTTTTAGTGATATTTATGCCGGCCTAGGCCAGCAAATGGTAACTTTCTGGACTCATTTGGCTACAGAAAACAAAGCTTTGAAGCAGGGAGACACAAAAAGAAATAAGAAACATGTAACTTCTTCATGGTACAATAAGACAAGGTATGCCTATACGTGACGTCATTGGGATAACTTGGCTCTACCGTTCAATAAAGTAATAGGGTTTGTGTAGTCCTACCAGTTAATAAAAGTGTATCCCCTTTACGGATGTGATAAGATTTGTTCAATCCATGTCAACTGCGTCAAGTTTCTCACATTAAACTTACAAAGTATCAATTATTGCATGTTATCAATACAAATATTTAAAGTATGAAGCGTATATCATTTTCAAACTTGGCGGTGATTCTTGTGACGTCATTGGGATAAAAACGTCATCTGCGTTTAGTTATAGGCATACCTTGTCTTATTGTACCATGTGTTTCTTCTTGGTTAGAAAGTAATGGAGAGATTTACAAATTTCCTTGATATGTTTTTTTAAAAATCGACGTACATTTGTTAAGGATGGTTGTATCTAGGTAGGTATTAATATATCTCTGCATAAAGGCAGCACAAAAAATGTATAATTCTCGAGTGGAAAACTTCTAGCATGGCGTTTTCCGCTCTTATAATATAAATAACTATTACTTCAAAGTCAAAAAAATGACACATTACTGGCGAGAAAATATTGAAGGGCCCAAATACTTTAATTTACGAGTGAAGTAATGTCATTTAAAGATAAGTTTTGTATTAAATTTTTACCCGAAATCGTATTTTAATTTTCATATATAATTTTTCATTAATGTCAATCTGTAAGTGATGACAGGAGTCATTATAGACATTTAGCAATGTGACAGGTGCGGCGGAAAAGTGATAGGTGGGGCCTGTAAAGTGACTAGGTCCGGTCGGTCTGCCTCTGTCCTGGACGCTAATAACATTTCCTGACATAAAGTCGCTATGAAAATGATGGTTTCATGACGATTTTGGGCAAAGGGTATTTGTAGGTGGGAATTAATTTACCAAATAAATCATAATCTATTTATTATTTATAGTCAATCTGCATTTAGCTACGTATAATCTATAAGCTCTGCTAATTAATCATATACAAACACCCTATCCTTTGCAATAGTTTGCATCTCTTGTGTTCTCCAATATCCACGACAGTTTCTCTACAATTTTAACAGCTATCACTTCACGTCCATGTAGTCGACACTGATTAGTAACTTCCACAGGACTCGAAAGAACACCTACAACAATTTATTTAAGTAACGGCAAAATGGCAATAATACATCTGGGATAAAGTTCAATTCAAAGTACCTAAGTTGTGTGAGATAGGTACATCTAAAATGAAAGAATAACTATAGGCAAAAACGAAAAAACGAGGCATTATTTTGAAATGTTCATGTTCTTACCTGCCAAAACACTGAGATTCAAAGCAGCTATTGGTTTTTCAATCAGTATTGGCATTCCAGATGTGATCTACAGCATGCAAATACGTAATGAAAACTTAAACCTTCTTTAAAAATTCTTACTGAACATGATGTCATGAAAGATGCCTCTGTTATATCCGCACATATGATGTTTGAAGTCGCATTCTTATTATGGACATCGCTGATGCATTTATTGCTTCTAGATGGCTTTAAAGTTATTGTAGTAAAACTTTTGTTTGGCGTAGCGTTCTTCCTCACGTAACCAACCATTTCCATAGCATATTTTGACAATGGCTTGTCTAAAAAAATCATTTAGGTAATGCAAACTATCAGATTTTATAATTCATTATGAAATAAATGCTAGAAATGTCCCATTCTTTTATTGCCAGTTGGTAATAGAAAATTGTGGGGTCTGTTTCTATTATTAGGTGTTTCAAAGCACGGTGAACCATGGCTTCGATTTTTTTAGAATAAAGCCTAAATGTGAAATCTGACAGTCCCTTTTACCTACTTACATTACTGTGACCAATCAAAATTTTGATTTGAATTTTCTTATGCGTTATTTAAATTAACTATTTTTTTTACTTTAAATATCCAACTTTATTTAACTAGATTATATCAAGATTAACAAAATAATATAATTTAATTAAATATTTACAGTTGCCTATCTCCATCTAAGGAAATAAAAACAACGACCCTAAGGTAGGGTTTTTGATGCCTTTTCAAAACAAAACGGAGATGCAATTTTTAGTGAGGACATCTTGCATAGTTGTAGACCTAATTATTTGAGACCACGTAGATGTCAACAAATAGCTTTCTCTCCCTTCTTCAGTGGACAAAAGGGCAATTTTAAAAATACCAAGATTTAAATTAATACTCACACTTATCGGTAACGTCTGGTAATTTTATTGGATAAATTGTTTTAGTATAAATCACTGGTTCTATTTTGAGTAGTGCGATGTCATTCTCTTGGGTTACATTGCTACTGTCATAATCTGGATGCAAAATTATGTTCGTGACAGGAGAACGTATATAGCAAGGTGATACCTTTATTACGTTTGATTCATATTCTGTATAACCTAAAGCTATTGTAAGGTGTTCCGGTCGTAAAGGCCTGAAAATGAACATGAAATTGTAAATAACAATTATCTGGATACCATATTGTACTAATATTAATCAGTTACATCCCGAGGCGCACACCTAAAACAAGAAAACAACTAAAGTAACTTTTGGCAAATACATATCTCTATACTGATTCTACAAAATAAAAAATTAACGAACTAGTTGGGTTAGTAAAACTAAAATGTATACCTATCCTTAGTGAGGAACCGTTTCATTATACGGAACGCAACAAGAACAATCAACAAGTAAATGATTGCATATTGTTTTGAAATTTTGAAAAAACTAAACTTCACACGTATCACGTAACTATTATAACTAACATCACTCGTGGTAAAAAAATAGTTGAATAAATTTGACTTTTTATAATTGTTTAAGTATCAATAACTTCACCCTTTGCCATACGTTAAAAGATTCTTAAGCAAGTTAAAGTTTCACTTACGGTTTGCAGCATTTTTTGGATGTTATTACGTATCGGTCGTTGATAAGTGTCCCTGTACATAAAGTGGAAGCCCCCATGTACGCAGCAGTAATTTGCACTATCCATGGAAATGCATAAGCTTGGCTAAAAGACTGTTTTGAAAATAATTCGCTTAATGCTAGCAAATGATCAAGTCGGGCGTAAAATCGACGCCCAGGTACTGTAAAACAATAGCCTTATGGCATGTACTTAAATTGCGTAGGTACGGTACTTACTGCAGTGTTTAGTTGATACTGTTTCCTAAAAAAAGCTTTATTAAGCAATGGGTGAACAGACAGATAGTAGGTCAGCGTTACTAATAAGAGATTTGGTACATTACCCTGTTCAGATGACATTGCATCGACGCCGGAATCAAAATTTTGAAAGTGATGACTAAAATTACGTACTTAGCGTGCATGGTATGTTGCATGTATTACACAAACAAATTATTGAATTTTCCTCTAGCGCAATTTGCCCATTTATTAAAAACTACAAAGTGCCAGTCATGATATTCTGATTTCAAGCATTAGGCATTGACACATAACTAATCCCATCTTACACAAGCATGGAAGTATTGTTATGTTTGGTGATCGTTTATTACCCATTTAACGTTTTTCTAAATAAAACAATATCGTATATAGGTTGAACGCGTACGTGTGAAGATAATTGCTTATCTTTTCACATGTGTGTTTATTTTACGTAAGAATGGTAATTGGTAATGGAACCAATCGAACCGCTCATAAATTGATTAGTTCCGCCTTCATTGCATAGCAAGTTCTTACAAATGCATTAAATTCTTTGTATTGCACTTGTTTATGCCTTGCATACTTCAAGCCGATTATTTTTTAACTGAGAAATCGCGAATTAACAACTAATAATAGTCTTCATTATTCATTTCAGTGAAGTGTCCCAAATTGGGGATGAAAGCAGGAGGACGACCAAATTAAAATTTGAATGCAATAGCAAAAGTGTGCCATCCGTGTGACTCTTTTTGAAAAGCTTTTTACAATGATGGGATGGGTTGATAAATGACGAGTATAAAGTCACAGTGGACGGTTGGACGCTTTTCCATCATCAACACGAAATATATCGAGGCCTGTATCCTAGGGGTTAATTTAATAATTGCTGAAATTTCATATTGCTACAATTTTGATGTAATAATCAACATAATTTCAAATATTGTGCTAACCTCATTGATGGGTAATTAAATTTTTTGGATGAGAGGATTTTACACAATAGCGACATCCAAATTTTATTATCAATTTCTGCAAATTGTTGCTAGTAATCAACCATCGTGTTGATAAATAAAGCGTCCTCTGCAGCCAAAAACAGTCAAACGTTCTTATAAAATGCTACTTTTGTAGAGGCAATAAAACAATACACTTCAGTCCTTGTCATAATGGAGTGAAGTTGTCACTTTAGTCTTGGAAGTACGAAGAATAATATTTCAAGCTAAACTGACGTCACCATAAAATGTAACCTTTGGGTAATCTTGTACGGTAGTTCTTTTATGCTAAAGGGACCACATACTGAATTTATTAACATTTACCTTAGATAATGCATTTAAATTAACATAGTACCTACCTATCACCAAAGAGTATTATTATGTAAGTATATACCAAGGATCCATTGGTATCATTATAATAGGTACTATTTGACCAAATGTATAAAAACATACCTATAGAATGTTTTATTTGAAAAAGTACCTACCATACAATTTTAGTTGAAATATTGTTTAATACAACTTTTGGTTAAACATTTGGAAAAAATCTATGCATCCTGTATTTCAAAGTTGCTTGGGTGGTATATATTGTGAGATCAGTGATCACAAAGTTAAAGATTTCTATTATCTCTAGGATTTATTATAGATGCTAAATTCAACTAACTATTAAAAGTATATATACGCATTTTTGTCAATCTTTGTATTTGTGATATAGGTAAAATAAGCGTTGGCATTATATTTTATTGTTTCGAAATGTTACTCAATCAAAATGTTGCATAAACTAAATTGTTATATTATTGAAATGCTGATAACATTTATTAAAATATATCAAACAATGAAATTGACTATTGAGAAACTAAAAATTATTCAGCCAACATACCTTCGGTCGTTTTATGTAAATACTAAAATGGACAACAAATGTAATCCGTCGATTATATAAATTCGACAACTGAATATGAAAATAAACGACTAAAGATACCGAGAAACTCTTCAGATGAATTTTTCGAAAGAAAAAAATGTTCCCCATATGTGTGACGATTTGTCCGTCTGCCTGTCTGTTCTTCGTCTCACTCGAGAACGAAAAGTAACAGCGATGTCAAACTTTCGCCACCTGCTTTCTACAAGTTCAAAGATCAGTGCTATGACGGGGATTAAAAGTCGAAAACGAGTTGAGCGGCAAAAAATTCCTCTACTGAAAATGGTATGCTATTATTCGTATCTTGTTTGTTTTAAAATCGTTTTGGTTGAATATCATTACAGAAACACAAAGGAGGCTACGCATTTGAGTATGAGCGCGAACGAGACAAGCGGCTGTGCGATGTGCCTCCTTCTGGGATCTATCCACATGTGAGCACCGAGGTACACGTGTGCGCAGCGAGCCACTTTAGTTCTTCAGTGTACGGAGGCATGATGAACAACGACATCGTAATTGCGAGTGCAAACTTTTATTGTGTTTAATAAACTGAAGGTGTGAACCAAAAGGAGAAAAGACGACAAAAATGCTAAGACAGCGTTGGTCCTCACAACTATATTTGATTAGAAATGAACCTGGAAGTGAAAATGGTATTTGCATGCTGGACGATTTGGAATCATCTTGTGTCTCAATGTTTACGAAATATCGTTAATAAAATGGCAGTAAAAACACTGAATATGGAGATTGATACCGAGCGAGTTTGGTGTAATGTTAGGTTCTTCAGATTGCCGCTCCAAAACCGACACCGAGTGAGGTTGTTCGGTGCGGCTCGTGCGGATATCCACATTTACATTCTCATGCAGCCTCAGATGAGGCTCATCAGTGTTCGTATATCGACAACTCATCTTTTAATCGTAAAGAAGGGCGTCTGACGATTTATTTGGGCTATAACGTTGGAACATTTTCTTTTGTTTCAAAGCTATGATCAAAGTGTGTGAGAACTGCTAGTTCTAGGACGTACAAATTGTAATGTAAAGGCAAAACCACGAGTTCGAAGAAGAACCCAAACGGACGAAGACAGGGCAGTTGGGGTTTTACGACCGCTAGCTATTGACCCTCATCTAGGGTCCAGGAGGCTTGCTAGTGATGAGGAAATGAGTAAACAATTAATTATAACCATATTGCACAAATACAATTGACAAGTTTCATTCATATCACATTACTCTTCGTCAAAAGCTGTATGGAAAGGACTTTGAAAATCGCGTTAACTTTTTAGCAAGATAAGTAGGTACACAGAAATAACAGGTTTTTGAAAACTGATATTTTGATCTTTCCATAAATGTGGCCAGGTAGGATCTCATGTTACGCAAACATATTGCTCAATAGTTTCCCGATATCCAAATCCATTGTATCCGAAATGTTGTGTCTTACCTACTGCATCTATAAAAAAAGTGCATGAAGTAACTAATGAGCACTCAATCAGACTTACCTGATCGTTCAAAATGGAAATCGAGATATCACATGCAGATCGTTACCAAACTACACTTACATCACAGCATAAAATGAAATTAAAAAGACATGATCAGCTCAAACTCGGGTACGATCGGTCGGCGGCGGTAGGACGGCTTGCTCTTGGTAATAATATTGAAATGTCTAGATTGGGCCAATGTTGCCAATTTAATATTGGGTGAACGGTTTATCACCAACACTGCACCAATGTGGCAAAATAATCTTGTTTCTATATAGCTACTGCTACATTGGACCAGTCTTGAATGAAGAAATATTGGCCAAAACATGACAGCCCATCATTGGTCCAATCTTGGCCAGTATATGCTGGCACTGTCCAGTATTGCAAATATAGACATTAAAAATACATTGTCAATATTGAACGTCCAACACTGGGCCATGCGAAAGCAAACTATTTGTGCTACTTGGGCGATGCCCGTCAAAGAGTCTAGGAGGTATATCTCCGTATGAAATCTGGACCAAAACTGTCGAAGAACCCGATGTTTCATGCTCGAAGACATTCACTACGATATCATCAGAGAAGCGGCGCAAAAGGTAAGTGTTCAGGGTTACTGTGTCGCGTGACATGGTTGCTGACGTTTTTACGAAACCATTGCCAGGACCTCGCCATTGTAAGTGTAAGGTGATGCTAAATCTCGTTTAAAGATTCGTGCAGAAAAACTCAAATAAAAACAATATACATTACAGGGTCGCTGATAAGTCTGGAAACGATCGATTATAGGGGAAAATATACAAGATATCGAAATATGTTTTGTACAAAAGTTCTGGGGTTCTTCAATGTCTAATTTCAATTATACGGTGTCGCTCATAAAGGCGGGGCACACCAAAATTAAACTTTAAAATGGAACACGCGGTATATTATTCAATATTTCAATTCTTCTCTCAATTTTGAGCAAAACTTGTAATAGCATAATGAATCTAAATTCAATAGTTTCCGGGTTATTGAGTTTTGAAAATAAACTCCATTATTTTAAAATTCATATTACTTATTGAACAAAAAACAATAATTAATGATTCCAAATATCACAAACACAAACGGTTCTTTTCAGAACCACAGAACGTTTTCAAAAGAAATTCATGATGCCATTAATTATATTGTTCTTTATATCCAATACATTTTAAAGCAAAACTCGAAAACTCGGAAACGATTGCATTTTGGTACATTATGCTTCTTACAAATTATGCTCAAAATTGAGAGAAAAAGTGAAATATCGAAAAATATACAGGGTGTTCCATTTAAAAAATACAATGTTGGTGTGTCACGCCTTTATGACCAACCCTGTATAATTAAAATTACTACTGCCTAGTAGATCTATATTAAGAACCTCAAATCTTTTCTATAAAACTTTTTTGGTATCTTATATATTTTCCCCGATAATCGACAGTTACCAGACTTATCAGCGACCATGTATATTTGCAGTATAATATTAATTGTCGTAATTTGATGTGATATTGGGACTAACTTCGAGACTAAGTGAATCGTTGCCTCATGCGTAATGAGCATACTTAGCCAAAACTGGGTTATACATAGAATAGCTTTACTGCGACTTAAATTTTGCAAAAGTCTGTGCTACTATAGGTCACCTTTCGATTTTTACAGTGTACTGTCATAATATGCTATTTATTAAACATAGGTCTGATAAAAGTATGTTTTTTATTCGGCATAGATGCATATGTAATTCATTCTTGTCACAAATACCTACTATTTCTCCAAGATGAACTAACAAAATGGGTGGTTTTAACGTTCTACAAAATCATACCAAACTGGTAACTGAAGTATAATTTTAATTTAATAGTTTGTTGTCAACCAGTTTAATTTTCCAATTAGTACAGATAATAATTAGGTTTGAGATTGGAGAGATTACAAAATAAAATTTACATTCGATGTATGTTTGTGATTATAAATTAAGGAAATTGTTTAATTTTAACTCACCGCAATCAATTTCGAATAAATATTAAAATTTCCTAATATCATAAAAAGTTTAATAATTTATAGAGGTGTTTGTCAATACATCAATTTAAGATTTTTAAGGCTGTGCCGTAAAAGAAGATCTTTGTGTTTATTGCTCATGTTGAACTATTTAAATATGGTCTGTCTTCCACATATTAATAAACTAAATTTACAATATCGCTATTTTGGAATACTGTACCATCTCCAAATAGGTTAGTTACCAAGAGCTCGCTTTGCTTTCAGATGTCTAAGAATATGTGTACCAAATTTGGTTCTAATCGATTTAGCCGAAAATGAGAATTTGACCCTTGTGTACGTGCGATTCTTCCTAAAAGCTTTTCAGTACTTCCTTTTAGGTCTAAATGTGTCCCAAATTTGGTTTAAACCGATTTAGCCGTTTAGCCGGAAATGAGAGTACAGACCGACAAACTGACAGACCGACAGACCGATCAACATGATTGAGATTTTGTTTGATTCGGATTCCTGGTACTTCAAAACGTATATTTCCGTTAAAAAGTGGGAAGTCACTTTTTACCATAATTCAATACCTCTCTTACTAACGTGCGGGTGGTAAAAATCAGCTCCAGTTTGTCACGTGTAATGTTGGTTGTCTACAGATGAAAATGTAGCAGTCGATATTTCGCAGACTTCAGTTGGTGGCAGACGTGGCAATTTTTTACATCAACCCCCACATCAAAATTTCCAGGTATTTTTTCACCAGCGATTTGCTTTCTAAATAGCCGCGACTTGTTCTTAATTTTGTTCTAAAGATTGTAATGTTCCTAGGGGGTCTATCAAGCAGACACGGAAAACGTTAACTTACCCTATACTTACGGTTGGCAACTCTGGCAAAAACTACAAGCAGAGCCACCTACCTTTCAAGTCGAAACGATGTTAGATTCGCGGCACTTTTGAATTTGGGTGGCCGTCGGCTCGATATGGGTGGCACGAATGGACTCCTACGTTGTGTAATCGGTTCTTTTATGTGTTGGGACGTGAGACATAATAGGGAAGGGAATTAAATAAAAGACAGAACTTTTGTGCGTAAGAAATGACAAGATCAAATAAATATATTAACGCACACACAAGACCATGCCAGGGAAACCTTCTACGGCACTAAAACCCTGGCAAAGGTCACACAAATACATGAAATAAATCACCTACAGCAATAAAATGCAAGAGAAAATACACATAAATAAAACATCGCAAATGGTATGATAAAAATCAGATAATCAAATCAAATGCAATTAAACAAGTTCATAAAATCAAAATTCACAAGACATCATAAATGCAGTGGAAAAAATGATAAATCAATTCAGTACAAAAACACATCAAAATACCTGTACGATCAATAGAGATAATACAACTCATCAAATAAGCTCTACTCCATCCTTCAGTTAACATAATTTAATTTACCACGAAAAGTACATGTGAGAATGCCATTGGTCAATAGCAAGTATTCATGTGAAAATCGATTATCGCTCAAACAGAACATAATAATAATAATAATAATAATAATAATAATAAGTACGCAGTATACTTAAAACAAAATTACACGGTAGAAATACAATCAAAGCTATTAACACTTATGCCATACCAGTGCTTACATACTCTTTCGGGATTATACGTTGGACAAATACAGATTTAGAACAAATACAGAGAAACACACGAACACTATTAACAAAACACCATATACATCACCCTCACTCCTCTACTATACGACTTTACCTTCCTCGTTCGGAAGGAGGTAGAGGACTTACAGATATAAAACTATTGCGCCAAACACAAATACACAATTTACGACAATACTTTTATAACAAATCAGATACTTCAGTCTTACACAAAACAGTAACATATGCAGACAAATCTTACACACCACTTAACCTACACGAAACTAATGTACTCCCACCCACATCCAAACTTACATACATATCACAAATAACATACAGACATGGAACCAAAAGCCTTTACATGGACGATTTCCACAAGAGGTTGGCCAGGATTGTGTTGACTCTATAGCAACGCACAGTTGGTTGTCTGAATGTGATGTCTTCCCGGAGACTGAGGGTTTCATGTTAGCAATACAAGACCAGGTCATTAACACACACAACTATAAAAAACACATACATAAAGATAAAACAGTGACAAATGATTCTTGTCGACTTTGTTCACAAACATCAGAAACAATCCAACATATAATATCGGCATGCACACGACTTGCACAAACTGAATACAAACATCGACACGATCAGGT